CTTGCAACTTACAAATGACTCACATATGGTATTTATAGGTATAAGAATACCTCTTCAAACTCCCCTAATTACTAGATGCATTTCACCTACATTTTACTTTCATGCATCTTATTCTTACATTCATGAATTATGTAAATTCTAGAACATGACCACCTAAATACATTAACAAATAATAATTTAGTTTAATACTTCAACATGTTGGAAGTCTTGCTTGAGCCAACTAGTTGTTGTTCAATTGGGTACCGCCATAATCAGTCCAGAATAAAAATGAGTAAATATAAGTAACGACTAGAAGATAAAATACTTCTGCAAGGCCAGATGACTTTTACTGAATGACGACTAAGTAGAAACACATTGTATTAGCATTTTTTGCTTTCCACATGTACGAGGTGCTGGCAGGGTTGTGGCCAAGTACTTCACTATTATATTATATTTGACTTCAGAACTGCTGTAATTTTTCTTTGAAATTTATTATAGTTTTAGCAGAGTACCTTAAAAAAGTCAAGAACATATAATTAGTTCAAAGTATTGATTTGCATCCAAAGCTTGCATGGGGAGTCCACTGTGTTGTGTTACTCATAGATGTGTAGTTTATATTTTTGAATCAAATGTTACTCATAGATTTTTTGAATTCTACGAACATTCATCTATATCATGTCACAGCGTGTCAGTTGTTCGATCATTATGGGGGGGGGGTGGGGGAGAGAGTACCTGTATAAGTTAGGTTTTTAGGAAGAATTCGAGTGAATTCACTTTCAAGGCCTCTAAAATACTGTTTAGACCAAAAGTTTGTAAACCTAATGACATTTTGATTCTTCTATTTTGGATTCTCATTTAGCAATCTTTATAAAAGATTACATACCAATCACCCGCAAATTGGATGTTAATTTTTTTTATTTTTTTTTTAATATTACATATTGGTTGCTCAACTCATCGAGTGCAACATATATCAAATGTTAAAGCTAACCTTAACTGGTATTGCTTTCAATTGTTTCAATAGTAACAGTAAACAAAAACACAAATAAAAATGACTCTTGTTGTGTAAAATTTGCCATAATACTCTTATTTTCTTTTTTCATTCCTTTGACATATTCCGAAATACCTCGTTTCACAATACCATCCAAATTTCATGGATAAAGCTAATCATACTCGGGTCTCAATTTATCAATGTCTATTGTCAATATCAGCGTACACCCAAACAACAGAGCAACAATAGTATTGATTTTAGGCAAAAATTGTAGTCATAATCTCAAAGAACACAAATCACTACGTCTATCTCCTATGGGTACACACCTTTATCGTACCAATTCTCGACGACGGGAGCTAAACCATTCGGAATGTGCAACAACAGGAGATAACCCACTGGCAAAACCATTGGTGGGTGAAAACTCTAATTAGGCAAAAATTGGACACCGTCGGAATTCTTAACGGGAAAACTCACAAATAATTTCAACGCAATTTGTGATACTTATTCTGTATTTTAGGAGTAAAAATAATTCACAAATTTATCAAAATAATTTGTAAATTGTGTACGCATTACAGATCAACCAATAGTTGGTTTCTATCAAATTTGATATTACATAATATTTTCTTCAAGAATTCAACATATCAAATAAAATTATGGAACAAAAGTTGATTCGTCACAGTTAAGAATACATGTATGTGTACATATAAATGTCAATTAAAAAAAATCTAATTAAAGTTCATGTTTTAATTCTTGGCGATAATGAGAAGTAAAAGAAGGAAACTCAATGGTGGAACCACACGCCCTTCCTTTTGGTAAAATGGGGCATTTGATGAAGCTTGTGGCATTAGTGTCCACACACAGATAGACTTGGAAAAGCTGGTGATTGCCACTCGGGTCAACATTGCACTCTATGAAGGGCTCATGCCCTAACCCATCTTCAATCGCTTGCTTTATGCTTTTGAAATGGTAGAAATCCCCAGGGCGTATCCCTGCAAGTATGTTTGTAAAACTGTATTTATTTAACTATCTATCATATAACGAATCCTTCCCTATATATTAATTCAAAACGTGTTGAATCTAGGTGGTAGATTCTCACGCTTCGGATGCTGACATGGCGAAAATCTATGCTTCGTGATGTTGTTTTTATATTATTTTTGCTCTGGAGTTAGGTTTGGTATTAGACATAAATAAATTTACACATATATTCATTAACTCAACACCTATGTTGTACATGGGTATTAATACTAGTACTTTAGTAATGCTAAATAATTATAAAATTCACAATAAGGAGTATATGAAAGTTAGATACAAGTTAAAAATTCTATTTCACTTTTTTTTTTTCTAAGTATTTATTTTTAAATCAATTTTAACTTTCTTTTTGCTCTCATTTAGTGATAAAAATGAGAAAGAACTAATTGATTTAATGGCATAATTATACACACCCCATAAAATTGCGAAAAAATTGTTATATAACAATTGTTTTTATATTTTTCTCGGAAATTAATTAATTGAACACTATCTTCAAGATTACAAAAATTATATTATTCGTTGCATTTTATACTATTAATATTATTAATCATATATAAGTAAAACAATTTATATTCAGATTGTTCATTACTAACCATCAAATTTATAAAACGTGACATCTATTAATTATCTAAGTTATATAAATAATTTTTTTTATTTTTTGGTACAGGGACCTTCCGGTTTCCGAATCCACAGGGGAACCGACTAATCTGGAATCGAGCCGGGTAGGACCACAAGGGCGGCAAAGCTCTCCCTCAAGAGTTTTTAACACTGCTGCATTCTCAGGGCTCGAACACGAGACCACTGGTTAAGCTGGAAGAAACCCAAGCCATAGTATATTCATACATGTAATTTATATTGTTTTTGTTTTCATCTGTGCTCGTGCACAAGATGAAGTAATAGTTACTATATATCATTCTCTAATATTTCACACGCATACTCAACACAATCATGTACCGACCATCAACCTTAATTAACCGAAATCAATATATTGAGCCAATCTAGAATTAAGGTTGGTCTGTCCATCGTACTTCTGAATAAAACATCATACTTATACTTGAAATGTCATACAATTATTTAATTTTATTAAAATATAATAATTCAAATATGAAAATATGCATATATATTTGCCATAAAAGTATGTTTCCTGAGTATAAGTAAAAGTACACAAGTACCTGCATGCGAAAGGATTTGGAGCAAGTTGGATTTGCTTCTCAGAAGAAGTGCAGATTGAAAATAAGAGTGTTGGTCAAGGGATGTGCATGTCCCATGCTTTACCCATTCATGACTCCAAAATTTTATTCCGTCTGCAGACGGGCAAGCAAGAGTCGGCCACTCATCCGTCATATCGCTCATTAGATCTGAGATCTATACGTTACACATATCAAAATTTAGAATTACCATCAAACAACTATATATGTAAATACGCAAAAACATTAATCAGTACCAACGATTCGTCCAAAGAAGTTTGAGCGCAGTTTTGCGGCCATTTTCCATTGACGTAATTAGGCCACAAGCCATGTATGCCGAAATCTTCATGAGGCTTTCCGGTCGTCGGATAGCAACAGCCATGTCTCGAGTCGCAATAAGAAACAGGCCACTGTAATTAATCGATTCATAGATACAAAAGTTTACATATTTTATATTTGTAAAAGCATACAAAAGTATATTGTATTGACTGAGGCTATGTTTAATAAAACTAGCTAATAGCTGATAAGCAGTGCGTATATGACAACTGTTGCTAACCTGTTGAACAAAGTAGAAGAAATCAAAATCCTTGGAAGATGAAGCCAAAAATAAAAGACATTGTAAGACAAACAGCTTGATCACAACTGAACTGTCAACTCTCATCTTATATAAGCCTCAATTAATATGCCCAATTCAATTAAATTATGGTATTTATAATAAGCAATGGCCTTAAGGTGGAGAATGGGATTGGCAATATGTTTCCACGTTATTGTATTTATATAACAGAATTGTTGCAATTGCTTTGTGTGTGAAACAAGTCTAAGTCGTTAGCATATAATTTGACTTACTGACTAATTTAAGTTAATGACAAATTTTCATTATATACTAAGAACCATGATTTATTTTAATGAATAAGAATATAAATCAAATCGGGGTAGTTAATAAAACTTGAAAAGGTTGACCAACATTGTTCACAAATTTTAAAGGTGTCCTGACTATTAATTGGGTCTTTCCACAGTAGATTTATAGTAAAATATATAAATGTGTTATGAAATTCTCTATATTTATTTATGTTAATTTTGTATTATGATAGTTGAGTTTGAAAATATGTATATTAATTAAAAAATATGTGTATCTAATCATTAGAGCATCCACATGCATGTTTTGGGTTTATTAAAAAAATATTATACGTCACATAAGAAATAGACTCAGCCTAAAAAAATAAATTCTTCAATACAAGTGCAAGTAGACTAGGTCTTGCTGAGGGGCAACAAGAAATATAGACATGGTCTACGCTTAAATCTATTTTAGACTCAAGTAGAGGCCCGATCTCTTTGCATTTGAGTGAATTGTTACTTTTATATAATTTTATTTATGTCATCAAAGACTTGAGTTTATCTATGTGCCATATAAGTAAAACTAGACCCAAAACATTGTGAATGTCTTGCATTATCGTTTAGTTTTTCAATAGGATGCCTAACTATTAGGACGATATTTTTTGTTTTTTTTCACAAATATGTGTACTTTCATTAGAAAGTTCATACTTTTAGAAAAATAATTTGGTGATATAGTATAACTGATCGATCTGCTTAATGATTATTCTATCTAACAAAAGAATGTGTTTTTTTTTTTTCATTTAAGTTACATTAGGAATTGGGATAGTATGAGGGATGACACTAAATCACATAATTAGATTAAACTAGAACTATTAGTCGTCAATTACAAGAGAATAATCATTTGAAAGCCTCTTCATATTTATGACAAAATTAGCTTCAACTTGGACACACAAGGAATAGTTTTAACATTAACTTAGAAAATAAAAAAGGGGCATCTATACCCCAGAGACGCACCCTCCTTCCTGAGGACATTCCCCTTTGGCTTTGGACGCTCATTCGGATGGACCAGTTAGAGTACCCATCCTTCAGATTCGGTCGACCGCCACCTCCTGCCCCTGACTAGATTCGGCCGACCTCTTATGAGGACTCGATTTTAGACTCACATCGCATATTTTTGTGACCTTTGTAGTTTTATTGTTTGTTTTATTTTTAGTTTTTATTTTTCCTTTTATTTTCTATTTTCTCTGCTTTTGTTGTTGCTCCATGTATTTCTGACTTAGATGTAGACCATTGACTTTCTTAGCCCTAGCTGGGCCTTATATTCACAGGTCGGGGGTGTAGCCTCAACCCCATCACAATCTGGGATGTTTATA